TGGTCGAGGTATCTCCACTGGTAGCCTAATACATGGAAAAACCCATATCCGGTTGATGCGATGCCTGTTGTTCTCGCCAATGGTGCCGATTCTAGAGCCAGCTGCCACAGGTGCAGGTGCCTTCTGGGTCCGCACCTGTGGTGCGTTCGCCGGTCGATTTTGAGCAAAGCGGCTGAAAGCTTGGTTCTCAAGATGCCCCACCACTCCAGAGACATTATCCTAGCCGCATATATCTCTGGAAAAACGTTTTATCAAAATTTGGGGCGCTGTTTGGCGACGGGGGGGGCATTCTTGCACTTTCGCTACTTCCCATCGACCCTAGACAGCCTCTTCTCGAGTTGACAGGTTTTACCATGATGGCTTGACGAGCTTGCTCCAGCTTCACAAGAGTTCACAGGTTTCACCAGAGTGAGACTTGTAAACCAGAACTAGTGAAGCAACGAAAGTGCAAAATGCCCCCCCCTGAACTGCGCCGAAATCTGTCTGCAGATAAAAGGTCGAGGATCGGAGAGGGGCGCGGCCGTATTTCTAGAGGACTCGAAGATCAGGGCTGTTCACGTTATGCGAGATTGCGATGACCACTGTTTTGTGCGGTTACCGATGGAATCCTACACGACCTCAAACAAACACCGCACGACCGCAAAGCCAGTTGATTAAATTTTCAAACGAAATATTTACAGAAAATGAATGGACGGTTTCGTTTTTCTTGAGCTGGGGGAATCCTTCGGATTACTATAGCTTACAAGAGCGATGAAGCGAGAAGATATTGGTATCCACTGGAGGAATTCGATAATCAACGAGACAAGATGTGATACAGATAGAGTTCGATGTGCAGTAAGTAGCGGGGTGATGGGCAAATAGTGGACAAATCTTTTATTACAGACGGTGAAGCTTTTCACAACTACCTTGAGCTTGGCCAATACGTGAAGATCAGCGATGAAATCGAGAATCTCGAACAGGAAAGGTCGCACTGCCTCAGATGCTGCCGTGTTGAATTGGTCGTCTTGTATGTTCATTTCGATGTCTGGAAAAATCGCCATGAGTTTGTGTCGACATTGGGAAAGAGTACCGAAATAGCAAACGACCTTCGCCAGCATCCTGAAGGATCAGATTTGCAATAGTGATGAAATTCGCTTCGTGCATTGAACATTTGAATTTGATCGCCTGAATCATTTCTGCCACAACAGCGCGAGAAACGCTTTGTTTGTCTCGTTCCTAAAGATATAATTTTTCCGCAAAAAATGTCAAAGAAGTAGCATAAGAATTTAAAAAAAAACTAGAGAAATATCTCAATAATCGGTGACAGTACCCGAATAAGAGCTCTATTGCAGGCTGTACATATTGTCAATAGGCTTTCCAGTTTCACAGGGCACTCATGCAGGGCTTCAGCGAGCCATTTGCAGAATGAGTCCACTAACGAGACAGCCGACTGTAAACAAAATGGTCAGATCCTTAACGAAAATGACGGCGCTATTCGGCTCAGGCGGGGCAGGGAAGAGGAAGCGGCATTCTGCACTTTCACTAGTTTCTGTAGCTACTTTCAGGTGAATTACTACAGCGAGACGTGTAGAGTCTTGCCAAGTATAAACGGACCTTATGCTATTGCGTAGTTTTCCGGGAGTTTGTGGGTTTATGGTTTAGTACAGGAGCCATTAGCACGCTGCCATGGGAACACTAGCAGAGCGAAATGCCCCCCACGCTAACCCAATCCTGCGCCTGCACAAAGATGATGAGCCAAATCTGGCAATGACAAAGATGTGACTGGAAAACGATCCTCCCGGTGAAAGCCATTGTAAGAATGTCTAGTTCCGAATTATGCTGATTCCACTGAAAGCTACGCCTGACCGCGGGACCAGAGACCTTGAAGGCACTCTGTATAACATATTCCCCAGCTGTAATTTGGAAACGTTTCCAAAAAACTTCCCCCCTTTTGCGGAGGAATAATTCCATGCTTGATTGCATGGGCCATGGGCCCAGTCAAAACCACTGTCTTCGTCATCGATGTCCTTTAAAGAGTGAGCTCAAGAGGAAGAGTGCAGCCAATGCCGGAACGCAGCAACACACCGTTGACCAGTGCTTTCTGCGACCAGGCGTATGCTGTGCCCCTAACGAGAAAGGCCTGAACTCTGGGCGAATGGCACTGTGCACTGAACCAAATAGTCGTCTCTCACTGGGAGCATAGGGAAGGACAAGACGTCGAGGGTGAAGCCTCTAAAAGGGCAAAACAAAATAACACCGAACCTTGAAAGGCGCTGTGAATTCTGTCACTTTCAGCCACGTGACTCCATACAACGGATAATCCGCGCTTTCCCACTTCGGCATCGCGACGGTTTTGCGGCACCGCCTCAGATGAAATCTGATTCGAACCGGTAATGATCGACCAGTAAAGGGTTCCACTTTGAGCAAAAACCTTTTACCTGGGTATGATATCTTCTGAAGAACGACTCCATGTGAGTGATCGCCGTACTCCAGTGGTTGATGTAGGCGTCAGACGGCACTTCAACTATGTACGCAGCTAGATTGCGCATAGTTGTCGAAAGGCGCGGTAGCCAGTTCTCGGAAAGGTCCTGAGTGAAGTATTGAACTGGGCAAAGGAACTGTGGAAGGCCGATTATGACAGCTGAAACTACCTCGAAAAGCAACTGTATGAAGTAGACGGGTGAGAGTTCTTGGAAATCCGCCAGCGACAGCGAAACGATTTTCCAAAATGAATCCGTGCGAGCGATCGGTGTGTCAAACAGTTGCATACAAATCCCGGACGATGACAACTGAAATTCATTTTGTTCACGAAATATCCTTTATGAAGGCTATCCTGTCCTAGTGGTGGGAGGGGGGGGGAGTGCAATGCAAATCATATTCTCTGGAGCACACCTTACATTGGACTTCCACTCAAAGTCAAAGAGAATTTTGAACGCGTTCTGGGACTACACCCTAGAAACCATTGATGTTTGTGACACCGTGAGATGATCCCTCCAATCAAATTCATCGGGTAGAGAACCTTGAGGAAAGCCCTGGTTGGCCTGAGGCCCATGGAAGGAGTGATGAAGCACCTCTGACCACCGTAGTCAGGGTTGGCTTGCGTTGGTTGGAGCAGATTACCGGGATTTGACCCTCCCTCGCGCTCACGTGATAAGCCGCTCGGCCTGCCACTACACTGCAATTTCGATGTCTGCGGACGACGGGCCTTCCAGGGAGGCTGGTATTTGACGCGCTGTCAGTCCGTTCTCCACCAGTTGTTGAAGCAAGTCAGGGACAATAATTGGTGACAAACAACTGATAGGAACGATATCACAATCTTGTCGCTTGTCCGAAGAAAAAAAGGGTAGATGCCGCGGTGCCCCCCCCCTTGACAAGCCCAGCGAACAGGACAATCCTCCAGTGTCAGAGTAGAACACAATTTCCCAGTACTAGTGCTCCAGTAATCTTGTACACACGAGAGTGCAAGCTGGACTGTTCGTTATGCTAAATTTACACCATTTGAACAGTCCAACAAACAATTTGCATAGACGGAGAATACAAAACCTAAGCTGCAATTCGCTTATACCGCATGCGATGCGCATCCTTATAGCAGCAAGCTTAGTCCAGTAATCCTTACCTGATGAAGAGTCACTCGAAGCATTTGTTTGGCGACACTGCGACAGTTTCCAGGAACGAACATCTCCGAATCGTGCCAAGGATAGATTGGATGATCAATTAAGCTGGAAGCATGAAGGAAATTAGTTCGAACAGTAAGGAACATGCGTCGTTATCTTTACCGAGTCACAGTGTGTAGAAGGGAGAAGAGAATCGGTGCCGCCATGACGGGTTCTCGATGTAGAAACGTTTCGACGGCGATCAGACAGAGCGAAATTGTCTCCTCATCGAAGGACGTCAGGCTCTCATTACAGTAATCGCAACGCAATTCAACACTGGAAACTTTTCTTCTTCAGAATCTAATTACACCCACATTCCAAACAAATTAATCAGGTCAGGATACAAGGATAAAAGGATAAAGCCTACGCTCTTAATCACCCCCTTTGTGGGATGCGGCACGCATTCTACTTCCATTCAGAATCGCAGTGACTTATTGAATGCGATGTGGCCTATACAATGACTTGCGGAGACTAATCGATTTACAAGTCAGTGTTCTTTTCCCCCAGACGAATCTGGTACCAATTCACGTCCCCGGAGGTGTAGAAGGCTTGGTTGGCCTGGGCGGGAGTCGACCGGGATTTGAACCCCGCGCGAGTGGTGAGCGTGTCACTTGCCCCTACACCACCTCCGCCTCATTC